TCTTTTCATTCCCAGTCTGGCAAAGGCGGGTTCATGTCACCCCACTAGTCCCTTGATCCTAAACCATGGCTCAGTTCCTACAGTGCCTATGGGTTACAGAGAAAGGCACAGAGCCAACAACTGAGGCCCTTTATTCCACCCACAGGGGTTCTGGGTCTGGTGCCAGGCTGGACCCTTGTGTCTCGGCTCCCTTTCCTGCCCATTCCTGGCTCTGCTCTATAGGGCAGAGGGGCTGAGCCCTGTACACTGCATTTTCAGGATCCTCCTTCAGGCTGCTTTAGTCAATGGGAGGCGGAACTAGAGGAGGGCAGTGGCTCCAGGAATGGCTGCCTCCATCCTCCATGAGAAGGGATTTATTCTTACAATTATGGAGGCTAAGTCCCAAATCAAGGAGCCACATCTGGTGAGGGCCTTCTTGCTAGTAAAGGCAGAGTTTGGATATTTGTCCCCCACCCCTCCCAAATCTCATGTTGAATTGTCATCTCCAGTGTTGGAGGTGGGGCCTGGTGGGACATGATTGGATCACAGGGGTGGATTTCTCATGAATGGTTTGGCACCATCCCCTTGCAGCTGTCCTCATGGTGGTGAGTGAATTCTCACAAGATCTGGCTGTTTAGAAGTGTGTGGCTCCTCCCCACCTCTTGCTCTCGCTCTTGCCATGTGAAGCGCCTGCTCCTGCTTATCTTCACCATGAGTTAGAGCCTCCTGGGGCCTCCTTAGAAGCCAGGCAGATGCCAGCACCACGCTTCCTATACAGCCTGCAGAACTGTGAGCCAATTCAAGCACTTGTCTTTATAAATTACCCAGCCTCAGTCATTTCTGGACAGCAATGTAAGAATGGCCTAATATATAGACTCTGCATGGTCCCAAGGTGCCACAGGGCATTGGATGGTGAGGGGGGGCTGAGCGCTGTAACATGCTAGTTCAGGTCTCTCTTTTGTGATAACCCCTCTCCAGTGGTAATCCTTTCACTCATTACTCTGTGAATGGATTAGTCCATTCCTGAGGGCAGAGCCCTCATGACCCGATCACGATCTCATGTCCCAGTCACCTCTTCAGTGACCTCTCAATACTGGCACATTGGGGATTACTATTCGATATGAGCTTCAGAAAGGACAAACATTTAAATCATGACACTGCCTGAAACGGCATGATGGGAGAGGTAATTAGCCTATTAACAAGGACATAAGAGAAAATCACTTAATGGGTGTCAGCTGGGAATTAATGACCAAGTCCTTCATTGTTCTCTGCAAGGAACTGGTTGGGCCTGGTTATTGGCTTCTGAACAACAGACTTTGGACCATTTTACTGTAAACAGTGAAATGTTTACATTTTGCTGATTTTCATATGTTTACAGACCTGCTTTATGGATTAGTTTTCAGGCAAATGAGTGGACTTTTCCCCAGTGCTGCCTCTATGTAAATAAGAATGGAGCCACACAGTTGCCCCAGACCTCTCTGCCACAAACTACGCCTGCCATAATTCAACAGAAGGCATTGGGATACTTACACACATTTGTGCTTATTGGAGATGCATCACTTCTAGGATTGTGTCCTGAAGGAAATAAATCAAGGTGCCAAAAATATTTACCAAACTGTCTAGAAATTAGGTAACTACCTTAATGAATCACAGGAGATTCATATAATGGAATATACAGCCTTTAATACTGACATAGAAACAGAACCTTTAATGACATAGAAAGTGTCATGATCCTTAACAAATAACAACAAAACTCCATATATAAAGCACCTATGGTTTTGGTTAACAAGGGAGGAGCTGACATGGAAAACCCCCTTTCTACTTCAAACACAGAGAAATGCTGATAAAATAAGCAAATGTCAAAATTATATTACTAAGTTCCAAATAAAACAAACACAGCACTTTGGGAGGCCAAAGTGGACAGATCACTTGAGGTCAAGAGTTCGAGACCAGCCTGGCCAACATAGTGAGATTCCATCTCTAGTAAAAATACTAAAATTAGCTGGGCATGGTGGCAGGCATCTGTAGTCCTAGCTACTCGAGAGGCTGAGGCAGGATCATCACTTGAACCTGGGAGGCGGAGGTTGCAGTGAGCTAAGATTGCGCCACTGTACTCTAGCCTTGGTGACAGATCGAGCCTCCATCTCAAAAACAAACAAACAAACAAAAACAAAATAAAACTAACAAAGGAAATTCACTGATGCCAAAACCAAAGAGGAAATACAGTGTGAGTGACCCGGCAGGAGCTGAAGCTAAGCGACCTGGAAGGAGTGGAAACAGAGGTGCATGCAGGTGAAAGCCACACCACAATGGGGCCTGGTCATCCAGGGGAGCACAGGCTGCCTGGCCACATTCCAGCGAAAGTGGGAAAGGAGTGACCTGCATCAAGCCAGATCCACAAAGAGCTGCTCCATCCATCAACTAGACACCAGAAAAACTCCACCCACTGGCCCAGGGAAGGGAAAAGGAATCTGGTCATCTATCCAGGGTCATGGGTGAAGAGAAAATCACCAGCAAAACAGATGAAACAACAGGTTTGCATTATAAGCAGGGTTGGAGTCCAAATTCATGGACCTCAAAACTGACAAATAATATGAAAATGAGTCTGGAGCTACTGAAACTCATAGCATCCCCTGAAGATGCTCACGTCACAGTGCTCTGAAGGGGCATGTTCACAACCCAGGATGTATGGGACATCTATGGTAAATACCTACCATAGATGTAGGTATGATGAACAGCCTGCATTTTGATTGCAGTGGTGATTATGCAAATCTATCCATGTGATAAGTTGACATAAAACTATACATATGGCTGGGTGTGGTGGCTCACGCCTGTAATCCAAGCACTTTGGAGGCCAAGGCAGGCGGATCACCTGAGGTCGAGAGTTCAAGACTAGCCCGACCAACATGGTGAAACCTCATCTTTAAAATAAAAAAAACCAAAACTATACACACATACCATCCTTTTTTTTTTTTTTTTTTGGATAGTGTGCTATCGTTATATAACAAGTAACCCTTGGGGCAAACTAGGTCAAGGTACACAAAACTCTACTAGTTTTGCAACTTCCTCTGAATCTATACAAAGTTAAAAAGTTGGGGAAGGGGTCCAAAGAAAGAGAATGATTCCTCATTCCGCAGGCCAAGCTGGTCCAACCTGTGGTCTGCAGGCTGCATGTGGCCCAGGACAGCTTTGAATGTGGCCCAACACAAATCTGTAAAGTTTCTTAAAACATCATGAGTTTTTGGGGGATTGTTTTTTCTTTTTTCTTTTTTAGCTCATCAGCTACTGTTAGTGTATTTTATGTGTGGCCCAAGACAATTCTTCTGCTTCCAATGTGGTCCAGGGAAGCCTTAGACCCTCCACATGGGTCCTAATTCTTTCCCTGGGGGCCCTCAAACCACATCTGCTCAGGGATTTGCAAACAGGAAGCAGCATATTCAGGCTGAACAGCCCCAGCACCTCCCCCAGCCCTTCCAACTTGACAGCTTTCACTTTCCAAATCCTTTGGTACTGTTTATCTTCCAAGCCCAGAGTTCTGTTCCTGAAGACATGAGGGACACTATTAATGATTAAGCTGGGGCCACAGATGTGAACCACAGACATCCTCCGCATACCAGTAAACTGTCATGAAGACACCTGACAAAGAATGGACGTCAGGCAAATGTGGTAGCCAACTCTGTTGCTTGGCATGGTCACAGGAAAAACTGGTGCCAGCTGCTGCCATAGTCAGAGCTGCTCCTCTTTATGTGAAGTAGTCAGGGGTTCCTTTTTTTTTTTTTTTTGGATAGAGTCTTGCTCTGTTGCTCATTACTCTAGAGCACAGTGATGTGATCCCAGCTCACTGCAGCCTCAAGCTTCAGGGATCAGGCGATCTTCCCACCTCAGCCTGTCAAACAGCTGGCACTGCAGGCAAGCACCGCCGTGCCTGACCTTTTTCTTTTTTTTTTTTTTTTTAATTTTTAGTATAGATGGGGGTCTTACTGTCTTGCCTAGTCTGGTTCCAAACTCCTGGGCTCAAGCCGATCCCCCAGCCTTGGCCTCCCAAAGTACAGAACAAAGACTTTTCCAAATCTCAGTGGGGCAGGCCCCAGGAGGGCCTCCCACCCCAGCCCTCACTGTGAGGACGGAGCAACGGAGGATGTGAGGGGAAGGGGCAGCCCCTGAGCCCCTGCAAACACAGCAAGTTCGTCATGGTCACAATGGTTAGAATAATGTCAGCCTCAACTTCCCATTTATTTATTTATTTATTTTTTATTTTTATTTTTTGAGACAGTTTTGCTCTTGTTACCCAGGCTGGGGTGCAATGGCACGATCTCGGCTCACCGCAACCTCCGCCTCCTGGGTTCAGGCAATTCTCCTGCCCCAGCCTCCTGAGTAGCTGGGATTACAGGCACGTGCCACCATGCCCAGCTAATTTTTTGTATTTTTAGTAGAGACGGGGTTTCACCATGTTGACCAGGATGGTCTCGATCTCCTGACCTCATGATCCACCCGCCTCAGCCTCCCAAAGTGCTGGGATTACAGGCGTGAGCCACCGCGCCCGGCTCAACTTCCCATTTAAAATCCACAGAGAATCCATTCAACGTCATTATGAAAAGAGAGTGAAGAAAGTTCCTATTTGTGGAGCCGCTCTATACCCTACTGGCTTTCTTTCAGTATGGCAGTGGAATTAGAGATACCTGCATATTCCTTAAGCTATATTTGGCTTTGTTTAAGGCAATTTGGGATAACGGACTAATTCTTCCAAGAGAGTGGCAGATGACTCTAAGGAACCAGAGGTTTGCCACAAAGCAAAGGGAACCAAAGCTCAGGGCCCCTCCATGGTGTTACACCTGATTTTGTCAGTAATTTGGTGTTCTTTTTCTACAGAACCCTGAATTATAGAATCTCCAGCCCCCACCAAACCCGATCTGCCCCTTCGAAGTTGGCTTTTATTTTTCACTGGCTCTGAATTGGGGGTCTCTTGTGTCGGGGGGAAATGTGAGCCTCTCCATGGGAATGAGGAAGAAACATCTACTCACCTTGAGCTTCTCAGTGGCATCTTCTATCTGGGTTATGTTGTCAACGTGCTGCTGCTTCTTGATTGCCAGCTGCTTTAAACATTCTTGGGTGAGTTTCTGTACAAGAGGGAGTTAGGAAAAAAGTCTTAATACTGTCACTTCCAAATAACAGGCCCGTCACGAGGGTCATCTCCACTTACTCTTGTATTCTGTTTCAGTGGAGGCATCTGAAGGTGAGGCGATTTGCCCAAAGTCATGTGGCAAGTTGGTGGATGAGCTGGGACCAGGGCCCCTTTGATCCTTGGAGGTCTGCAGCAGGTATGCCTCAAATCTTGATTTTCGCCCCCTCCCACACTTCTCTTATCTAGGACAAGTCTTGCTTGTGACTTGCTTTTCCAGCCTTTCAAGTAGGACTTTAAGGCAAGCAGCTTGGGGTGTGGGAAGGAGCAGCCACTTACTATTAACTGAGCACCTACTACATGCTGGGCCCTGTTCCAGGTGCTGCCCTCATGAAACATACATTCCAAGGAGTCAGTGGCCCTCTGGCCCTGGACTAGGTGAGAAGTCCATGAGGTTCATGCTTCCTGCTCTTCCCACCTTCCATATCTCTGCTTTTTGAAATCACTGTTTTCCCCAAAGTCTGCTCTGCATTCCCCTTCCCCACAGGTGTGACCTCATCTCCATCTTAGCCTTTCTTACACCTGGCCTTACACTCAGCTGGTTGGGCCTAGATCTGGCTGCCCCATTGACTGGGAGCTTCCTGAGGGCAGGCTCGCTTCATTCCTACCTCCCCACAGGGACCAGGGGGTGACCCAGAAGTGTTTGCTGAATGGAACAGAATTATCAGGGGTTGGTCAGGCATGGTGGCTCATGTCTATAATCCCAACACTTTGGGAGTCTGAGGCAGGAGGATCACTTGAGCCCAAGGAGTTCCAGACCAGCCTGGGCAACATGGTGAGACTCTGCCTCTACCACAAAAGAAGAAAAAAAAAAAAAAGCTGGGCATGGTGGCATGCACCTGTAATCCTACCTACTTGGGAGGCTGAGGTTGGGGGGAGTCACCTGAGCCCAGGAGGTCAAGGTTGCAGTGAGCCGTGATCATGCCACTACGCCACTACACACCAGCCTGGGCTAGTAAGACCCTGTCTAAAACAAACAAACAAACAAAAAAGAATTATCAGGACCTGCCAGCTTCTCCCCAACCAGCCACGGAACTCTTCCAGATCAGGGAAGGATCTGATCTATTCCTTGACTCATGGCCTAAAATACATGCTGAATAGATGTTTGGTGAATGGTGGATGGATGAATGAGTAATGGGTGAATGCATAGGAAGGTGGATATGTGTATGTAAAATGGGTATTCATAGTGACAACCTTACATAATGAGATTCAAGAGCTGGGCATGGTGGCTTGCACCTGTAATCCCAGCTATTCAGGAGGCTGAGGTGGGAGGATCACTTAAGGCCAGGAGTTTGAGACAGGCCTGTGCAAAATAGCAAGACCTCACCTCTACCAAAAAACAACAGACAAAACAAGAAGCCAGGCTGGGCATGGTGGAGAATGCCTGTAGTCCCGGCTGCTTGGGAGGCTGACATTCACAAGCTATAGAAATGATTACCAAAGAAATAAATTGATGATGGCTAGCTTTGTTTAATGAACAATTCAGGCAAAATTGCTATAAAAAATAAATAAATGAGATAAAAGTTTATAAATGAACATTTCATAGTTTTAAAAGTTGTTTTCAGTAACATATCATGTTAGCTAAATTAAGTAATAGGTCATCATAGAATGTCTGAGTTATTTATACGGTATAGAAAAGCTAAATATATTTAGATCTGTTACAAAAATTGAGAAGCCATCTTTCTAGAAATTATAAAATTATTTCAATTACAAATGGTGGTAGAAAACAGCTCAAAATTACTCACTTCCTAGGTTTTTCACTGGAAATTCAGGTTACTAAGAGTGGAAATTGTAGTTAATAACTACTCGATATAAAAGAAACAATTATATTTACAGAGTGTATAAAGAAAGTCAGATGTATTTTTGGTAAAGAGAGTTGAAAAAGAGGAATTTTTCTTTTGCATGAGAGAGAACTTCATGTAGTCAGAATGATAATGGGAAAAGGGAAGTAGATTTTCGTCCAAAGGTAGAATGCCAAAATAAAAAGAAAGTACAGGACAAAACTGAAGATTTAAGCAAATTATAGAAGGTCTGTGGAAGATTAATCTCATAAAAGAAATTTTACATGTGACCAAGTTGTTTAAAATTAGAAGGAAATGGCCAGGTGTGGTGGCTTCCTGTAATCCCAGCACTCTGGGAGGCTGAGACAGGTAGATCACCTGAGATCAGCGGTTTGAGACCAGTCTGGCCAACATGGTGAAACCCCGTCTCTACTAAAAATACAAAAATTAGCTGGGCATGGTGGTATGTACCTGTAATCTCAGCTACTTGGGAGGCTGAGGCAGGAGAATTGCTTGTACCTTGGAGGCGGAGGTTGCGGTGAGCTAGATGGCACCACTATACTCCAGACTGGGCAACAAGAGCAAAACTCCATCTCAAAAAAAAAAAAAAAATCAGAAGGAGATCATTTATAAGTTTTCTAAAACTTCAGTATTAATATCAAAAGCACACTCGCGTAAGGCCAGAGTCCGGGCTCCTGTGTTGGAACAACAGGGTTTTATCAGAGCATTGATCTACTCTTTAATAGAAAATGGTGAGCGATTATTGAAGGTTTATGGAACTCTTGTCTTGTGTGGTCAAAGCTGACTGAGATTGGATGGTTGATAATATACTAATACATAAGTAAGTCTTTTCTTTTTTCTAGATAGGGTCTCACTTTGTCACCCAGAATGAAATTCAGTGGTGCAATCTTGGCTCACTGCAACCTCGACCTCCCAGGCTCAAGCAATCCTCCCACCTCAGCCCTCCAAGTAGCTGGGACTATAGGCATGCACCACCATGCCCAGCTAATTTTTGTATCTTCTGTAGAGACACAGTTTTGCCCAGGCGGTCTTGAACGTCTGAGCTCAAGTCATCCACCAGCCTTTGCCTCCCAAAGTGCTGGGATTATAGGCATGAGACACTGTGCCTGGGGCCTAAAATTAAGATTTGTTTTTCTTCTTATTTTTTTCTTTGAGATGGAATTTCACTCTTGTTACCCAGGCTGGAGTGCAATGGCACAATCTCGGCTCACTGCAACCTCCGCCTCCTGGGTTCAAGCAATTCTCCTGCCTCAGCCTCCCGAGTAGCTGGGACTACAGGCGTGCACCACCATGCCCAGCTAAGTTTTGTATTTTTAGTAGAGACGGGGTTTCACCATGTTGACCAGGATGGTCTCGATCTCTTGACCTCGTGATCCACCCGCCTCGGCCTCCCAAAGTGCTGGGATTACATGCGTGAGCCACCGCACCCGGCCTGTTTTTCTTCTTTGAACAACAATGTAATGTGGTATTAATAAGGTAAAAGGTATATTTACTTTTGCATTAATGGCAAAGAAAAGGTAACAGGGGAGTCTGTCCCATGCTGTCTTTATTAGGTCTCTTGATTGAGAACTGAATCTGCTCTATCAGAGTGGTTTTTGCTTTTTGAAATCTTTGAATTATCATTTTGGCTAAAATGAATTATCATTATTTTGTAGTGACCTGTGATTCTATTTTGATCATGTGTTTTAAACCCTTCTGATTTTTATAACAAGTGTTTTAAACCTTTAATATTTGAGATACTTCCCAAAGTTAAATCTCAAATTCAAAAATTCAGTCTTTTTTGACCCAAGCTGACTTGGCATAACCAGAACCTCTGCAAGTCCAAAAGAGACACATTAGGCTTATTTGGTATGTCAAAGTCATACGGAAAATATTGTCAAGTAAGCAATGATGCTCAACTTTCTTTGAGTTATATTTATAAAAATGTATTATTGTGTTCCAACATTGTATCATTGTATGAGATTCTTAAAAGTCTGATATGTCTTAGTATACGTTATCAGTATATTATCATAATTATTATGATAAACTGTTGTATGCCACACAAATAACCAAATGTCCTAGTCAATTTCATCTTTAACCATGGCTATTCTAAGCCTCTTACCATTCATAGACAATTTTTGTTTTACTTTGATTCTTGTTTGTGGGTTTTTTTGTTTTTTTTTTGAGATGTAGTTTCACTCTTGTTGCCCAGGCTGGAGTGTAATGGCTTAATCTTGGCTCACCACAACCTCCCAGGTTCAAGTGATTCTGCCTCAGCCTCCTGAGTAGCTGGGATTACAGGTGACTGCAACCACACCTGGCTAATTTTGTATTTTTAGTAGACACCGGGTTTCTCTATGTTGATCAGGCTGGTCTTGAACTCCCGACCTCAGATGATCTGCCTGCTTCAGCCTCCCACAGTGCTGGGATTACAGGCATGAGCCACTGTGCCCGGCCTTAGTTTGATTCTTTTTTAAGAAAGTAGTTTATAATCAGTTACGGTCCAAAATTTGCTGCTTCTTTAAGGAAATTTTTGGAAAAGACCCTGACAAGTACTCTTGAATACAGGTTTCTGGTAACTTCAGAGATCATACCACCGGACTAAGTAAAAATTTCCAGAACTCTAATAAAAACCTGAGGCATTCATGAAGACTGCTAACCCAACATCGAGCAGAGCAAGAATTATTTACATGGGACTAAACTGATAGAAGACAAAAGTGATTTTTATGATTTTAAAAATTCAAAACATTGCTATTTCTTTTTATATTTTGTTTTTCAGTTAAAAAGCTTTTTTCCTTTTGTAACAGCAACTGGATAAAATACACTTTTGTGAGCAAAAATAGAAACATTTGCCTTTCTCTGTACCTGATTTCTCCAAAATTTGCAAACTATTTGTATTATTCTTTTTTTTTTTTTTTGGAGACAGAGTTTCGCTCTTGTTATCCAGGCTGGAGTGTGCAATGGCACGATCTCGGCTCACTGCCACCTCCGCCTCCTGGGTTCAGGCAATTCTCCTGCCTCAGCCTCCTGAGTAGCTGGGATTACAGGCACGCGCCACCATGCCCAGCTAATTTTTTGTATTTTTAGTAGAGACAGGGTTTCACCTTGTTGACCAAGATGGTCTCGATCTCTCGACCTCGTGATCCACCCGCCTCGGCCTCCCAAAGTACTGGGATTACAGGCTTGAGCCACCGCGCCCGGCTTTTTTTTTTTTTTTTTTTTTTTTTAAGATGGAGTCTTGCTCTGTCACTCAAGCTAGAGTGCAGAGTGCAGTGGCATGATTTTGGTTCACTGCAACCTCTGCCTCCTGGTTCAAATGATTCTCCTGCCTCAGCCTCCTGAGTAGCTGGAACTACAGGTGCACACCACCATGTCTGGGTAATTTTTGTATTTTTAGTAGAGATGGGGTTTCACCATGTTGGCTAGGCTGGTCTCCAACTTCTAACCTCAAGTGATCTGCCCATCTCAGCCTCCCAAAGGGGTGGGATTACAGGTGTGAGCCACTACACCTGGCTATTTGTGAGTATTCTTATTTTAGGACAATATAGTTATTTGCATAAATTCAGTAAGAATACATTTTCTTTCATAACAGACCATATTGGAGACACTGGTAATTTTACCAAGGCTTTGACTGAAATGGTGTATCTTCAGGTATGACCAGATCGTTTTTAGGAACTGAAGTTGACTTTATAGAGCCCATAAAGAGACCCTTGGGGGCCAGGCTTGGTGGCTCAAGCCTGTAATCCCATCACTTTGGGAGGCTGAAGCAGATGGCTTACTCGAGTCCAAGAGTTTGAGACCAGCCTGGACAACATAGTGAGACCTTACCTCTATTAAAAAATGTTAACAAGAATAAAATAAAAGGGGGCCCAGCACTTTGGGAGACTGAGGTGGGCAGTTCACTTGAGGTCAGGGTGTTCAAAACCAGCCTGGCCAACAGGGCAAAGCCCCATCTCTACCAAAAAATACAAAAATTAGCCAGGAGTGGTGATGTAAACCTGTAGTCCCAGCTACTTGGGAGACTGAGGTGGGAGAATCACTTGAACCTGGGAGGCAGAGGCTGCAGTGAGCCAAAATTGCACCACTGCACCCCAGCCTGAGCAACAGAATGAGACTCTGTCTTCAGAGAAAAAAAAGTATCTTGAGAAACCTCAAGATATTTTGGGACCTTGAAAAGAGAATAATTCACCCACTGTGAATGGGTATCACAGGCATAGTCTGATGGTGAATCCTTGGTTTAGCTTTTTAGCTGTGAGGCTTTTAAAAGTTGAATCCGGCCGGGCGCGGTGGCTCAAGCCTGTAATCCCAGCACTTTGGGAGGCTGAGGCGGGTGGATCACGAGGTCAAGAGATGGAGACCATCCTGGTCAACATGGTGAAACCCCGTCTCTACTAAAAATACAAAAAAATTAGCTGGGCATGGTGGTGCGTGCCTGTAATCCCAGCTACTGAGGAGGCTGAGGCAGGAGAATTGCTTGAACCCAGGAGGCGGAGGTTGCGGTGAGCCGAGATCGCGCCATTGCACTCCAGTCTGGGTAACAAGAGCGAAACTCCGTCTCAAAAAAAAAAAAAAAAAAAAGTTGAATCCAGGCCAGGCATGGTGGCTCATGCCTATAATCTCAGCACTTTGGGAGGCTGAGGTGAGAGGATCACTTGAGCCCAGGAATTCTAGACCAGCCTGGACAATATGGCGAAACCCTGTCTCTAAAAAAAAAATACAAAAAAATTAGCCTGGTATGGTGGTGCATGCCTATAGTCCCAGCTACTTGGGAGGCTGAGGTAGTAGGAGGATCGCTTGAGCCTGGGAGGCAGAGGTTGCAGTGAGCAAAGATCATGCCATTGCACTCTAGCCTGGGTGACAGAGCAAGACCCTGTGTCTCAAAAAAAAAAAAAAAAAAAAAAAAAAAAAAAAAAGAAAAAGAAAAAAAGAAAAAAAAGTTGAATCCAAAATTCCTTACGAAAGTTTCAACAGTGAAAATTAACAGGCCAAGTATAATCTAAAACTTATTTTGCAAGTAAATTTGCCTTATCAAGACTCATTTTTGGTAAAAGCAAGGAACTAGAGAGAGAAAAATCATGTTTCAGAAGAAAATCTTAGCACCCTTGTTATTCCTGTTATTAGATTCCAGCCTTGGCCATTGTTTTTGAGTTTTTATTATTTTCCTACATTTTGTACTAAATCCTGAATTATTTCCTGGCTACAACAAGGAAGGTTGTAGACAAAGTTGTAGAAGCCAAATTCCTGGCTTTTAAGGAAAATTTGGGATTTTCTTCATGATGTTTTTAGTGGACTCCCCAGTGGAATAGGGTTGGTGTTGTTCTGCCATAGAGATTCTCTTTTTCTTTTATTTCTTTAGTTTTTTTGAGACAGAGTCTCACTCTGTCACCCAGGCTGGAGTGCAGTAGCGTGATCTTGGCTTACTGCAATCTCCCTCTCCTGGGTTCAAGCGATTCTCATGCCTCAGCCTCCTGGGTAGCTGGGATTATAGATATGTACCACCACACCCGGCTAATTTTCATATTTTTTAGTAGAGAAGGGGTTTCACCCTCTTGGCCACGCTGGTCTTGAATTCCTGGCCTCATGTGATCCTTCGGCCTCAGCCTCCCAAAGTGCTGGGCTTATAGGCATGAGCCACTGTGCCTGACCACTGTGTCATTTTCATATAAATTCTTGGTAAACAATTGAGGAACTGCCTCTGCTTTTTTTTTTTTTTTTTTTTTTTTTTTTTTTTCAAAAACGTATGTGTAACTGCTGCTAATTAGAGTGGATAGTCAGGGAAATTTGAATCTCTGGTCCCAGTTTGCCATCCCCAAGCTTTGGGCTTAGATAAACGCTATACTTAATCATATTTTCTGAATCTTATTACCTGAAGTTGACTTTAGGTAGGTGGGTAGAGGGATGGACAAACGGATGGGTGAGACTCGAGCCAGATCTGTGGAAAGCAGCCTTGTTAATTCTGAATAACAGTTTTTCAAGGAGCTATTATTATAATTACAGCCATTTCATACATAAAAAATAGAAGAGTCTGGTGGCAGGGACAGGTCTTGAGCCCAGGATTCCAATCGATTGTCCCTCATGCTCCCCTTTTCACCTTGGAGTTCCAAGGTTGTCACAATGTAGTGGTCTGGAGTCGTGCAGTGCAGGGGAAAACCTTGCAATGGGGCCGAGTTCATCACAGAAGACCTTGAGACGGAAGTGGTAGAATCAACACCTATCAGACAGGAGGGCCTGCGTCACCTAGGCTTCATGAAACCCAGAGAGAGAGGATTTGAGAGGAGCCACAGAATAAGTCAGCTGGGAAGCTGAAGCAGGAGCCCAAAGCCCCTGGCCACTGCTAGGATTATGCATAAGTGAGCCTTCCATGATGAGAAGGGCCTTGTTGGGGGCATCTGGCTAATGGAGTCCTGGGTGCAAGGCCTGCCCCTGTCTTCAGAGCCTTCCTTTTGTGGCCTATAAACTGGCTGTAATAATAATAGTTCACACAGGGCTGCTGTGAGCAGGAATGGGAGAGTCTGTGTGGCCGGTGAGGGAAAGGAGGTAGGTAGTGACTGTTGGGGCTGCTCCCAGGGCAATCGGCCGTCCTCAGTTCAAGGTTCACAGGCCCTTTCTGTAGACTACAGATTGAGTAAACTGGAGATGTCTGTGTGACTTTCTGAGCTACACAAGGCTGTTTATTAAGAAAGAGGGTTTGCACCTCTGTTAACTGAAAGGCAGACTGTTTTCCAACCCAATGGCAGTGTGGTGAACCCGCCATGGTGGACAGGGTCAAGGACATCTGGGTACCAGTCTGGGCTCCCAACCTCTCCTAAACCCATCTTTTATGAAGCTCAACTGATGGCCTTGGCTCGCCTTTGCCCTTCCTGGGGTCTCAGTTTCCCGTTCTGAACTTTCGGCTGACCGCTTAGACGCCCTCTGGGGCACCTCTGGTTTCCAACTTGTTACCCGTCCCTGGCCACGGAATGGCAGGCACGCCCCCTCCTCCACCGTCGTGCCTGGGCTGGCTCCCACAAATCCCGCGCGGCGTCCCCACCGTCCCCACCTGCACGTGCACCGCCGCCTCCAACGCCAGGCCCACCGGGTGGCCGCGGTGCGCGCCCAGCACCGGGCAAAGCGCGCACACGCAGCGGCGGCAGCTGCGACAGAAGAGCTCGGTCACGCGGTCGCCATGCTCCGGGCAGCGCCAGCCGCATCCCTCGACGAGCTCCGATCCCCCAGGGGTCAGGTTTCCAGCCGCCGCACCAGCCATTTATCCCCGCCGCCTCGGGCTCCCGGGGCACGGGGCGGGGCTCCCACGGGAAACCGAAACCTCGGCCGTGGGCGGGGCCGCTCCAGGCCGGCCCAGCTCCAGCACTGGAGGACCGCAGGGCGCCCCCGGCCGCCGGGAGGATGGCAGCCAGCCGGGAGCAGCGAAGGGCCTCGGAGCATCCTCCGACCAGCAGGGTGCTCCCTCGGCCCGCCCAGGTCGGGAGGTGGCCCCAGAAGACATGGGAGGCTCCTAACGGGCCAGCTGGGAGAGGGTGGGCTTCCTGCTTAATGACGCTAGTCCAGTAACGCCTAGAAAACTGCAGCCCTGAGGATGGGACCAAAGTTGGCTGTGACCTTCCGGGATCGGGGGGATGGTGCGCCTCTTACTTTCTCCTGATCCTCTCTTGCTCTTTTCCTGGGAAAGATAGCCATTCCCACAATTGTGAGAAACCTCGTCAACCTCAAATAATGACACGGAGATTCTCCAAATGAGTTTATTTCGGACTGAGCAGAAAGATTGCAATCTGGGAATAAATGTGCCATGGCACCCAAGGGGTGGGGGCACGGAGTACTCAAGGAGGCAAAGGAAAGCGGAGGCTTTTAAAGGCAAAACGAGGAGGGCCGCATATATTGTTTTAAAATAATAATACTTGGTTACAAGAATAAATACGGTGGCTTCAGCCCAAAAGTTGAACAGGCAGTTGCTGGGCAGATGTCCTCATACAGCGGCTTTTGTGCAAGATTGTGGTTCTTTGTGCAAAGTTGCAGTTTGGTGCAACCTATTATCATGCAATAATAGTTCCTGTTACCAGGCAAATCGTTGGCGAGGGCCCCCCACTTCATGGCCTCCCACGCTCCTGGGTTCAAGTGATCTTCTTACCTTATCCTCTGGAGTAGCTGAGACTACAGGAGCACCATTTAGTTTAGTTTTGATGTAAGTGACTCCATCTTGGTACTGATAACTTTCACACACACACTCCCACCACTAATCCCACTTGCTCCAGGTTCAAGTCTCGGCTCCCATTTATAAGGCCTTCCTTCCTTCCTTCCTTCCTTCTTTCCTTCCTTCCTCTCTCTCTTTCTTTTTGAGAGGGAGTCTCACTCTGTCACCCAGGCTGGAGTGCAGTAGCACAATCTCAGCTCACTGAAACCTCTGCCTCCTGGGTTCAAGCGATTCTTCTGCCTTAGCCTCCCGAGTAACTGGGACTACAGGCGTGTGCCACCATGCCCAGCTAATTTTTGTGTTTTTAGTAGAAACAGGGTTTCACCATATCGGCCAGGCTGGTCTTGAACTCCTGACCTTGTTATCCGCCTGCCTTGGCCTCCCAAAGTGCTGGGATTACAGGCACGAGCCACCGTGCCCTGTCTCCTTGGCTCTTTCTTAAGATCCTTGGTCCCTGCCCTGCCTATGCTCCACCCTTGGCTTTTTCAAGACTGGGGGACGCGCAGTTTGTCCTACTTGGAACAGTCTTCTTCCCAAATACCCTTTGCCCTGAGTATTCCAACTTATCCTGCAAATTTCTACCTTACTATCTTCTCCTCCAGGAAGCCTTCCCTGCTTCTCCTTCCAAAACAGCTTACACTTTCCCTGTCCTGGCCCTCCCCATTCCCCAAACCATGACACAAAACTGGAGACAGCAAAGACTATGTCTGTCCTACTTGTTTTCCAGCTTGGTGTCTAACTCCAACAGTAGATAGTGAATTGGTATTTGTGGAGCAAATCAAGAAAATGAAAGCTCCATGTAGTAAAATGTCTGGCCAGATGTTTATTATTTTGTTACATTATTTCCATTGCACATTCCACATCTATTTATTTTCACTTTTATTTATTATTTTTCACAAAGGTACAAGGAATTTCAGAAACAACATTAAAACTATCATTCAAATCGTGTCAGGCACAGTTGCAATTAAAAGCATAGATTTGATTTCTGACTTCCTGTTTCCTTCTGTGATACAATCTCAAGCTTTGTTCCAGGAAGCACAATTATTGTAGCGTTAAGGTGGACACCCACCAAAGCCCATCTCCTAGTGCTGTCCTCATTCTCAGAAAGTTCCTGAGTCAACAGAAAGGGGACGCCCAGGGTATGGAATAAGGAGATGAAGGCCTGCTCTGCCAACTGGCTGGGCCCCAAAAATGCTGGTCGAGTTCCACTACATCAGATCAAGAACACAAACAAAAACGTAATTTAAAAAACAGATGGTTTAAAAAAATATCTGATAAAAATTACCTATCCCTCTCCCTTGCTGTGAAATAATTTAAATAATTTATTCTAGACGTAAAAAAAAAAAAGTTTGTTCAAAAACACCTGTGTGTCCTGTTTGTTAGAGTGCAGTCTGGGTCCCTTGGGGTGGAGAGAGCTGGCCAAGGAATGGCGCTGTGCAGAGGCATTCTGGGAAGCTCTCAGGATGCAGCCCCACCTCTGCCGCTTGGCAGCCAGTGACCTTGGCATGATGTTTCTTCACTTCTCTAAGCCTAGGTCTTTGCTTCTGAACATGGGGATTGTAATGCCTGCCTGACCTGTGTTAAAATAGCATGTGTCAGTGACTGGAGGTGGGAGGTGTTTGTAAACTGAAGTGTTGGCCACACAGGTAAGCCTGTCCTGTGAAGCTCTGCTGCCCTGACAATGCCTGGGATTTGGCCTTCTGTTCTGGAGCACACTGTAAGGCAAATTTGGTTGGCGCATCAGATGGGAGTGAGCCCCAGTGACTGAGTAAATGAAGAATGAGATAAGGAACACGGGCGTCTGGCCTGTGCAGACAGACAAGCAGAATAAACCATGGCTGGGGAAGGGGCAGAGGGAGGCACTGAACCCCCATCGTGCTGCAGCTGTGGTTCCCAGAAATGTTGAAGGAGGGCTTGGGACAACACTTCTGGGCTTTTAAGGAGCCACTAGCCAGGAGTTAAGAGATCTGGGTTGAGCCCCAGCTCCTGCCTGGCTCTCGCTGTCCTCTTCATCTTTATTGCAAATAGGTACACATGGAGCCGGCGATACTCACTGTACTGCAGATCACCTGCGAAGCTCATATGAATATACAGGCCCTACTCTGGAGATTGAGCTTCAGTTGGTCTGGGATGGAGCCCGGGGGTCCGTATTACCTGCATGCTCCCAAGGGGATTCTAATGTACAGCCTGGGCTGAAACCTACCAGGCTAGGCCTCCTGCAGTCCCCATCTCAGCTTCAGAATCTAATCACCCTGTGCAATGGAGATCATCTGCCCCTCCTTGGTAAGGAGGGACCAATTTCACCTCTAATCATTCCCTATCTCTTGATGAACTGTTGTATTGACCACTGAACTTTAGAGCAGGGCTTGGAACATACTAAGGAGGGACAAAGAAAAGCCTTCAGGTGAGAAGGGAACTTTGAGACCATCTGCTCCTACTTCCTTACCTAGAGTAGTAGGTAAGACCTCCTGGTTAGGTGGCCAGAGGCTATGCTGGCATGTCCTCAGAGATGGAGGCCCCCTACCTCCAGGGGGACTCTTCTGTTAACTAGGGCTGAAATCTGCCCACATCATCCTGCAGGAGGCAGGCTGTGTACCTGACGGCTTTGGTGGTAGCAGTCAGCAGTCATGGGCACAGCTCTGAAGTCTGCATCCCCCCATAAGGGACAGCGTCTACCCCCATCAGGCTAATTCTGGTTGGAAAGGTTGTTTTTTGTTTTTTGTTTTTTGAGACAGAGTTTCGCTCTCGTTACCCAGGCTGGAGTGCAATGGCGCGATCTCGGCTCACCGCAACCTCCGCCTCCTGGGTTCAGGCAATTCTCCTGCCTCAGCCTCCTGAGCAGCTGGGATTATAGGCACGCGCCACCATGCCCAGCTAATTTTTTGTATTTTTAGTAGAGACAGGGTTTCACCATGTTGACCAGGATAGTCTTGATCTCTTGACCTCTTGATCCACCCGCCTCGGCCTCCCAAAGTGCTGGGATTACAGGCTTGAGCCACCGCGCCCTGCCGGAAAGGTTGGTTTTGACATGTCTGTGTTGTGGAATCGGGTTTAAACCCCCTGGCCTGGCCCCTTGCCAGTGTCTGTTAGTTTCCGCAGCAAACTCAGATCACCCCACAGGTAGTTTTCCCTTAGGTCAAGGTTACAGATGGCAGATCCTGCAGAAAGCAGCTTGTTCCAGGGTATTCCTTGTTCAGATGAAGAAACAGAGACCAGAGAGGACAGGACTCGAAAGAAGTCACTGAGTAAGCTGGGGCACAGCTGAGGCCAGAAACAACAGATTTCTGCTCTGTGGGCTGAGGACTGCATAGACCCAAAATTGCAAAAAGACAGACCCAGAAAACCAGGATCTCAGCCTAGCCTCACCAAGAAACAATTATCCCTTGCCTCTCTCTGGGCCTTAGTTCGTCTACCTGTAAAATGAGGAACTTGGTCAAATCAGTTTTCAAACGTCTAAAACAATTTTTTTTTTTTTACTAGCAGAATTGTTTTTCATTGTAGCCCAACATAGAAAATAGAAAGGAGATGTCTGGTTGGAACACAGTGTGGGGAAGGGAGACACAGCCTTCCTGCTTAGTCTCCCCCTATCCCCCTTTGTCTCTCTCTTTTTTTGAGACAGAAAAAAAAAAAAAGTGTCACCCAGGCTGGAGTTCAGTGGCATGATCTCGGCTCACTGCACCTCTGCCTTCTGGGTTCAAGTGATTCTCCTGCCTCAGCCTACCGAGCAGCTGGGACTACAGGCGCTCGCCACCATGCCTAATTTTTGTATTTTTAGTAGAGACGGGTTTCACCATGTTGGCCAGGCTGGTCTTAAACTCCTGACCTCAAGCAATCTGCACACTTTGGCCTCCCAAAGTGCTGGGATTACAGGCATGAGCCACTGCATCTGGCCCGGTCTTCCCTAGTCTCTGGACCACAGTCTGAAAATCACAGGCAGATCAACCTAGGTCCTTCCAGCTCTAGTTTTCTACTGTGTTCTTTCCCCTTGAGAAGTTCTAGCTCATCATGGACCCTTAACAATAGAATTCAACAGAAGGCATCATCTAAAAACAAAGTCAATTCAGAAACTGCTGTTGCAAGAAGGCAAATAGAAAAACGGCACCATGTCCCACTGGAATCTCTTTCAGCGACTGAGAATTTTGTTTTCTGGTAAAAAATATAGAAATAGTGGTTGTTCTTAGG